GGTCTAGGGATGCAAAATGAACAAATTAGACAAGCCCCATTCTTTCATGAGCTGTACATTCTAGCATGAAAACGGACTTAGGAACATAAGCAAGTCAATTACAAGATGATTACTGATTAGGAGACGCTCACAGAAGAGAATAAACAGAATAAACAGCACATCTTTCTGAATCCTAAGCTGATACCTAAAGCAAGAGGAGAAGCTCTTCCTGAGATAGAGCAATTAATGTGCTCTGGTGACAGGAAATAATTCCATGAAGTTGGAACGTAACAAGCAAGCAGGAAAACAGAACTTCTGTGTTCCAAAGTCCGGAGTTCAGTCCTTAGCATTCTCGTGAGAGTAAAACAAGACACATACATGTATTCTTGTCTCCTATCTTCAGGTTTTGTCAGTGGAACCACTGACTCAAACCGCCTACCCTGGCCAGGTACCACAGTGACCACTTGTGGCAATTCAGGACTAACAAGCTACTGCCAACTGGAAGAATTCAGAAAAGGTCAAAAGGAAAGAGGAGACTCCAGTCCTCATATCCTACCACCTCCCAGAATCCTTTTCACTGGAATCCATCTTGGCTGAGTGATGCGTGCAGCACCAGGAAGGACCCTGCGCCACAGTGACTGGCCAGAGACAACCTGGAAACTAAGCCAGTTACCATAAATCCCAAGACTGCGAGCCACATGGCAGAGCAGTTCTCCTGAGTCCCCTCACCCTCCTGCTTTCTGCTCAGGCGCCCCTTCCCAATAAAGTCTCTTGCCTTGTCAGCACAGGTATCTTCTCGGAGAATTCATTTCTGAGCGTCAGACAAGAGCCCACCTTCAGGCCCTGGAAGGGGGTCCCCCTTCCTGCAAGTTTCCTTTTCCTTATTGAAAATATCCTAACATCAAGGACTTGCTGACAGTGGGAAGTGGGCAGTCTTCTTTATACAGATCATTCCCCCAAATGATTCTCCAGATTCCAGTTTTTGCTGGAAGTCATCACCAAGTTGTATCCAATTCTTCGTGACCGCATGGACTGCAGCATGCCAGACTTCCCTGTCCTTCACAGTCTCCTGGAGTTTGCTCAACCTCATGTCCATTGAGTTGGTGATGCCATCCAACTATCTCATCCTCTGCTGCCCCTTTCTCCTTCTGCCCTCAGTCTTTCCCAGCATCAGGGTTTTTCCAGTGAATCAGCTCTTCCCATCAGATGGTACAAGTATTGGGACTCCAGCTTCAGCATCAGTCCTTCCAATGAATATCCATGGTTGATTTCCTTTAGGATTGACTGGTTTGATCTCCTTGCTGTCCAAGGGACTCCCAAGAGTCTTCTCCAGCACCACAGTCTGAAAGTATCAATTTGGCACTCAGCCTACTTTATGGTCCAGCTCTCACATCCATACATGATTACTGGAGGCATATGTAGGACTTATTTTAAGTTTCAAGTGGGTATCTTACTCTTCCCAGGTATATCTCAGCCACCAGCTGCACAAGGCAGGTGATAATAAAGCCTGGTCATTTGTGTGCACTATGAGACTCCTTTTAAGAGAAATCATTGTTCCATGGGCCTCTATGGGTTTGGCCAAGATGCTGGTGAATCTACATTGCCTTAGCATATATCCTCTCCTAACTTGCATGGGTTTAAGGTCAGAATTACAGTGTGATGGACTTCCCTGCCTAATTCTGTTTCATGTCTAACCTGGATTGCATGTTTTTGACTCTCCCCAAATTCATATGGTGAACTGTAATCCCTTCAGTGATGGTATCTGGAGGTGACAGCTTTGAGAGGTAGATCATGAGGCTGAATCCTTCAAAAATAGTATTAGCATTCATTTAAAAAGAAGCCAGAGACATAGCTTCTTCTCCTTCTAAGAGAACAGGAGAGACCTCTGCAACCCAGAAGAGGGCAGCCACCAGAACCTGACCATGCTCACCCTGATCCCAAACTTCCAGCCTCCAGACCTCTGAGAAATAAATGTCTGATTCTTATAAGTTGCCCAGTTTATTGTATTTTGTTACAGCAGTGGAACTAAGACTGCACTTCTATCTTTCACAGTCTTTAAGCCCCAAGAAGTCACTTGTTCATATAACTCCAAGTCAGAGTCTATTTCTCAGATGAGGCAAATGATGCAAATCTTCTCATTACCAGAAAGGGTATTTTCTTTCCTTTTGCTTAGAAAATAAAAAAATTCAAATGTTCTATGGTCTTTGTACATTTTTCTAATATAAAGTATTAAAAAACATTCTTAATGTGCTTCTGCCTTTATACTTTCCTCCACTATGTGCACATGCATTCACACCACTCTCAATTTTTCTTTTAGAAAGGTGAACAAAGGTCTCAGACATAGACAAATTCAGATCCTTTAGGAACAACTAACCCTTTGCTTTCATTTGAACCAACTCAAGTATAATTAAGCAAACATTTACACAATAATGCTTACTTTTCACTTAACATGATGCTTCAATATGTGATTTGCTATTTGATAAGCTATATCAATTTGCTAATTGATAAACTACTAAACATCTGTTGCTGACTCTATTATTAAATTTAGCCTCCACTTCCTTCTGCACTCTGCCTGCTTGAGTTAAAAACCTTAACTTCATTCAACCAGTATTTATTAAGCAACTTCTATGTACATGCTTCAAGTATCATTTCTCTCCAGTGCATTTCCACAATAGTACCAGAATAAACTTTCTAAAATATGAATAACTTTGTATCTGTCAAATTGGACATGATAAGGCTAAAATGAATACCTAGAGAAGGGCATAGCAACCCACTCCAGTATTCTTGTCTGGAGAATTCCATGAAGAGAGGAGCCTGGTGGGAGACAGTAATAGGGTCGCACAGAGTCAGACACAACTGAAGCGACTCAGCACAGCATGGCATGTGGTGTCTATAATTACTAACACCATGTCATATATTTAGAAGTTGCCAAGATCCTAAAATCTCTCATCAAAAGAAAAAAAATACAACTGCGTGGTGATGGATGTTAACCAGAGTTACTATAATAATCACTTCACAATATGTATTGTGATGCACTCAGTCGTGTCCAACTCTTTGAGACCCCATGGACTGTAGCCCGCCAGGCTTCCCTGTCCATGGGGATTCTCCAGGCAATAATACTGGAGTGGGTTGCCATGCCCTCCTCCAGGGGATCTTCCCAACCCAGGGATCAAACCCAGGTCTCCCATATTGCAGGTGGATTCTTTACCATCTCAGCCACCAGGGAAGCCCTCTTGGGTTTCAGTATTCTTATACTGGAGTGAGTAGCCTATCCTTTCTCCAGGGGAACTTCCCAACCCAGGAATCAAACCAGGGTCTCCTGCATTGCAGGTGGATTCTATACCAGCTGAGCTACCAGGGAATCCCTATTAAATCTTTATGCTATACATCTGAAACTAACATAACACTATGTGTCAATTGTTTCTCAATATATTCTCAATATACTTTCTCAATAATTGTTTCTCAATATATTACACTGTAAATGATGAACCAAAAGATTCAAGTAAACAAACAAACAATCAAGAAGTGAAGAGGAAATGATTCAGTTTCACTTCTGTTTTGCGGACGCCGCTATACCATAACTCTTGCCACTGAAAAGAGAAGTTTGAAGACATCTGACAGTGGCTTTGAAATTAAGGCCCTGGGTGTGAGCCCCAACCCTGGTCCCATCTCTCACTGTGACTCTGGCTGAGGGGTAGGACATCTCCAGATGTTTCTCCTTTCCCTTAAAATTCAGAGCTGACCACCTTCTCTACTCTTCCCCAGGGTCATCAAAGAGGACAAAGGAAATGATGTCTACAGCAGACCTTCTTTGCTGAGGAAAACCATATGTAATTATGCCCCTAATGAATGTATTTTACAAGAGTTATTTCCTGTTTCTGAATCTAAATTCAATTTTAAGCCATGACCTATTTATATATAGATGTACTTTTTCTCACTTTTAAATACATGAGGATTTTTCTTTGAATTTAAAAAAAAAAGTGAGGAGAGGCTCTAAATTTTTAATTTAATTAATAATTGACTTAATGGTAAGACATGAAAATTCATCTCAATGCTGCTGAAAACTCATGAATCAAAGTAACAAATGTATATGTGCCCACATATTGAATTTTTCTATTTGGAAGTCTGCAGACAAAATCACCAGATACAGGAAAAAAACTACACCCAAAAGATGGTGCTATTTTAAGTAATTTTAAAATATGCTATAAAAATCACAATTATAAAAAGTCTGACACAGTGTCTTTACTCTCTTGCTACACTGTTAAAATTAAACAATAAAAGATATATCTTCATTAACAAAAACTGTTACTTTATGAAGTTATCTGACAAATCATTAAAAATAGATTTTCTAGTTTGTCTATTTTATTTTTTTAAATAACTTATTTCCTGTTTGCTAAAATCTATACCATTGAACTCAGGATACTGGCTGTGTCTAATATTGGCAAAATTGATAATATTTTCATGAGAGTTCTAGTACACAGATATCAGAATCCTGTTTTAACAAATGAGGAATCTAGTAACAAATATAATAATATCCATGCATAAAATGATTACCACATGCCATGTACTGTGTGCTGAATATTTATTGGTCATCTGATCTTCATAAAGCTATGAGGAAGGTTTCACTCCACTTCATAGATGTGTGAGTTGAAACTTAGAAATCTTTATAAATGTTACTTGCCAAGCATTTTGCAGCCAATAAGTAATTGTATTTATTCTTAAATCTGATATCTAAGTCGGCCTGAGGTATAAGCACACTTCTTTCCCAGGGATGAACAACGGTGCCAGGCCATCTGTTAAACAGGTGATATTCTACAAAGGACCTGCAATTCATTTTAATATGTATCAGAATGATTGTCAGGCTTGCCATGTACCTGGCACTGCACAGGAATAACACATTTAAATGTTACTGAGAGGCAGTGAAGTTCCTTAGCCAGAGCATTTCATAATCCACATCCCAAGAAAAGTGTTTCCCTGAAGCAATGACATAGTAAATAGAATTCAAAATTTAGGCCACAAACCTGTTTCAGGCTCAATGGAAAAATAAGGTTGCCCTTCCAAGATGCTATAAACCAACTTTGCACTGTTTCCATAAACTGGGTCATCAGCATCAGTAGCTGTTACATTAGTGACAGATGTACCTAAAAAAAAAAAAGGAAAAGAAAAAGAAAATAAGAATTAACACATTATTCTTTGCCAAGAGCTGAATTTTGTCAAGGATATTATACAGAAATCCATGTGTGGTAATGAGGAAGAAAAGAACTCTTTTTTAAAATATGGAGATAAACTATCATAACTTCAACGATATACAAGCCTTTTAAAAGACAGAGTACTGCTAAGTTGAAGTACTATATAAAGACAGCTCTTTTAGAATCTGTATTATTTAAGATTCCTTTGTAGTTTTCATTTGAAAGATACCTATCAGATTCGTGGGCTTAGAAAATATGAAAAGGATACATATCAAAGAAATATGAAACACAAGGTTAATAATATGATGGATATAAAATGTAACATTTAAGTTCTCCAAAAAGCACAACTGAATGTACTTGGAAAAAATTGGCTGCTGAAAAAGCTGCACAGAATATGAAAGGAATATTTTATCCCATCTTATTTATTTCCTCAAAATATAAAATTATATTGGACTACTAATTAATCATAATATTTAGATAACTGGGCCTATGGGTAACAGAATCAAAACTTTTATTTTTTTCCCCAGATTAATTTTCCATTTTATTCACTCATTCATTTAGCCATTGAATACATTCAGCTTGCCTGATATGAAGTCAAAATTCATACTCGAGAAGCTTACAGTTTGGTGGTAGGAGGGAAGAGGAGAGGAGAGACAAATTCAGCTGAATGCACTGACTCCGAGTTTGGATCCCTCACTTAATCCAGCACAAACCAGATATGGTTAGGGACAGAATTCTGAGAGGCATTGCATTTGAGTGGAATTATGAAAGGTGGGTAGAGTTTAACTGGGAAAAGAAAAGCAGGGAAGGAATTTTAAGCATAAGTAAAAACAAAGTAGTCTGAGAGACTGTGTTAAATTCTGGGAATTACTGAAAGTGGGGAGAAACTGGAGAAGTCTGGTGTGCTAACAGGAAGCATGCTCTATGAGGGCAGGGTCCATGTCTTCCTCACTAAGTGTCAGACATGTACTGATTATGGAACATACATTTGCTAACTGAACGGATGAACAAATGAATAAATCATCTGATGATTTCATAAGCAATGTTAGGTATCACAAATGAGCTTCCTAGAAATAGATTCTAAGATGAAGATTTCTTGAATTTTTACTGAGGGGTCCCTTTGATCAGTATATTAATACATATATACAGAATCTAGAAAAATGGTACTGATGAACCTATTTGCAGGACAAGAATAGAGACTCCAACACAGAGAACAGGCTTGTGGACATAAATGTAGAAGGAGAGGGTGGGATGAATTGAGAGGATAGCACTGACATATATACACTATAATGTGTAAAGCTGGAGAAGGAAATGGCAATCCACTCCAGTATTTTTGCCATGAATCCCACGGATAGAGGAGCCTCATGGGCTACAGTCCAGGAAGTCACAAAGAGTCCGACACAACTTAGCGACTACCAACAAATGTGTAAGGTAGATAGCTAGTGGGAAACTGCTGTGTGACAGAGGGGAGCTCACCCTGGTGTTCTGTGATGACCTAGAGGGGCGGGGTGGAGTGGGAGGGAGGTCCCGGAGGGAGGGGGCATAAGACTACTCAGGGGCTTCCCAGGGGGCTCACTGGTAGAGAACCTGCCTGTCAATCCAGGAGCCACGGGTTTGATCCTTGAGTGGGAAAGATCCCCTGGAGGAGGGCATGGCAACCCAATCCGGTATTCTTGCCTTGAGAATCCCATAGACAGAGGAGCCTGGTCATGGGGTCTCAAAGAGTCAGACACAACTGAGCAACTGAGTGTGCATGCATGGCTGATTCTATTGTTGTATGGCAGAAACCAACATTACACTGTAAAGCAATTATCCTCCGATTTAAAAAATAAATATATCTGTAGGAAAGCGAAAGGACAAGCTGGGTAGAAGGAGCACTCGGGCAGTGATGCAGTTACAACAACGACCTCAGTGGACTTCCCTCTAGAGTTGGGATGGCCACTGAGGAAATCCATCCAAGACTTTATACTCCAGCCCTGACCAGTTATTGGCTGTGGGAACCTCCCTCAGAATGGAGGCTTGGCCCTGGTCCAGGCTGCTGTCTTTAGCTGAGGGAGCATCAGCCCTGAACTGTCGACAGTCAACACACCCCGCAAGCTGAGGGAAGAGTGTTTTAAACCTGAAGGGAGCTGTGGGTGGATCTGAGCAGCATTTCTCTTTGCTGAAACAAGGTAGAGCTTCTGCAAGATCTTGCCAACCAAAATCTTTTTGAAGTGTGTTGAATTATGGTCACTACATAGGAAAATGTAATGTTTGTCAAGCAGTTGATCATCCTGTAAAACTGGAATTTTTATTCGGCATGATGATTCAGAGGTTCTACAAAAATCTACAGCAAGAGATAAAAAATGCTCTGAATGTCTGTTGTGTAATACATTCCACCAGACACTGGGAACAGTATCAAAAAAATAAATAAATAAAGACTCACTTTCACAAGTAGCTCATCAACTAGCTGGTGAAATGAGCACATGAAAGTACAATATTTGCAGTTATTTGAATATTGTGTGGGATGGAGAAGAATTGGAGGAAAGACATTCCAGGTGAGAGGAGGATAGTAAGATAGACATGACTAGGTTCCTGTTAGGAAGAGAAATGTCCGTAAAAGGCAGTCATTAAAACTAAAGTTGGAGATGCAAACAAAACAAAATATAAGGGCACATAAATGTCAAGATGGGGAGAGTTGGCTTCATCCTGTAGAAAAGAGAGGAGATCCATCATTTGCAATCAACCCTATGTAGGAGGCTCCTCCATTAGTACTTCCAGATTCAATTGGAGGCAGAGATATAGAATGTTAGGAGATGAGGCAAGTTATGAGGTTTAGTTATAGTCCAATTCAGTTCAGTTCAGTCGCTCAGTCGTGTCTGACTCTGCGACCCCATGAACCACTTAAGAGATGATAAAACATTGACACTGGGTAATGACAATAAATACGAGTCTCAGTGCTGATTTTCTTGTTTTGATCCTTGCACTAATTTTACCTAAAATGTTCAACTGAAGATAAGCTGATGATGCTTTTGAACTGTGGTGCTGGAGAAGACTCTTAAGAGTCCCTTGGACTGCAAGAAGATCAAATCAGTCAGTCCTAAAGGAAATCAACCTTGAATAGTCACTGAAAGGACTGGTGCTGAAGTGGAAAATACAATACTTTGGCTACCTGATGCGAAGAGCCAACTCATTGGAAAAGACCCCGATGCTGGGAAAGATTGAGGGTAGGAGAAGAGGGCGACAGAAGATGAGATGGTTGGATAGCATCACTGATTCAATGGACATGAGTTTGAGCAAACTCCAGGAGATGGTGAAGGACAGGGAAGCCTGGCATGCTTCAGTTCATGGGGTTGAAAAGAATCAGACACAAGTTAGTGACTGAACAACAACAAAGCTGAGTAAGGGGTATGCTGCTGCTGCTGCTGCTGCTAAATCACTTTAGTCGTGTCTGACTCTGTCCGACCCCATAGACGGCAGCCCACCAGGCTCCGTCGTCTCTAGCTTTCTCCAGGCAAGAACACTGGAGTGGGTTGCCATTTCCTTCTCCAATGCATGAAAGTGAAAAGTCAAAGTGAAGGTGCTCAGCCGTGTCCAAGCCTTAGCGACCCCGTGGACTGCAGCCCACCAGGCTCCTCCGTCCATGGGATTTTCCAGGCAAGAGAACTGGAGTAGGCTGCTATTGCCTTCTCTGGAGTAAGGGGTATACAGGAACTATTTTTGCAACTTTCCTCTAAGATTAAAATTAATTCAGGAGAATTTTTTTAAATGAATCACAAGAAAAAGATTAAAGATTTACTAAAAGAACTGAATTCAGAGATTAATCTGAAAGGGTCAACTCTTTCTTCCCTGCAGAAGGCCATGAAATAACTTTTGTTTTTGTTTTGCTGGGTTGTGTTTTCACTTAGATTTTGTTTTTAGGAGAAATTATTTCCCCCATTATGAAGTAATAGCACATTAACAGAAAAATAAAGTCAAGCTCTGTATTCTGTGTCAGGCTGTTAGTATGTGCATTTCATACCCATCTCTGTTTAGCCTGGAAAAAGAGAAGTGATAAAGTGAAAAAATTCTGTTATCAACAGAGTTACCTTCTAGTGGGGGGACTCTAAAATTAAGAAATGTCTTCATAGAGAAAATAAATAAATCTAGATAGTGTCTGAACAATGACAAACCCTGTGTATATGTGTGGGGTGAGTGTATTTTTGCAGAGTAACATGGGGTTCAGGATCCCCCGGTGGCTCAACAGTAAAGAATCTGCCCGCAATGCAGCAGACCCAGGTTCGATCCCTGGGTCGAGAAGATCCCTTGAAGAAGGGCATGTTAACCACTCCAGTACTCCTGCCTGGAGAATCCCATGGACAGAAGAGCCTGGCCGGCTCTAGTCCACAGGGTTGCAAAGAGTCAGACACAGCTGAATGACTAAGCAGCCTCAGCAGCAGCGTGGGGTTAAGTTTCACAGATGGAATGTTTCTGTGTGAAATGTTCTGATATAAGTATCTTTTCTCTTCAGACCAATCATTTAACTTGTCTTCTCCCCGGATTTCAAGTCTACAGCAAATGTTAAAATTACTGTGAGGGTCCAACAAAATAATATAGATAGGGGCTAGAACAGAAATTACCATATGCTAAGTCTGTGAGTATGTAAGTCTCTGCTTATGCGTTAGTATCCAGCTTTGAAAAATATTTAGATTGCTAGGGTCGCTTTCAAATCTGTGGGAGGACAATACAGGGATGAAGGTGGAGCACTTTTTAAAGTCTTCTCAGGCAATTCTAACGTAAAGCCATAGTTCAGATAAACTCTAGTGGAAACCAGACTTTTTGAAATTTAACTTCACTCTTTTCCATAGAAGCACTAATTTTCTATCCTGATTACTGTGAAGAATTTTTGCTGAGATTTGTTTATAACATGAAATAATTTTTAAATGACTGCTGAATGAACAGTCATGGAGATTGCTCAGTTGCTCAGTCATTTC